GCCAATCAGATTACTCAGCATACCAGTTGTTTATCATTTGATGAGAAAGTAGTGTATGTGGTCGCTTTGGCAGAGACAGATGGTGATTTGGTATTGAACGGTATGTTACTGTTTTGGAGTGAAACCGGTGATGGACAGAATGCATGAAAAATAGCATAGCTGTAATGAATGCCTGTAATACAACTATGCACCGCTCAGTGTCCAAATCTGCCCATATGCTTCTAAAGGACACGTGTCCTAAGAAGGCTGAAACCCCTGGGGTTTAGGACACGGTTTAAATGATTTTCCATTACTTATAATTGACCCTTGCAAACTATATAATTTACAAGTAAAAGCTTTATATTGTAAACTCTGTAAAACACATTCTAAAAAAAAATGCTGAAAAAGAAAGTGCAAAGGTGCCCGTGTTGCTGTAAATTTTGTTCATCCTGCACTAAAATGTGTGGATCGGTGTGTAGCTCAGAATATGGATATTTTTCGTATAGGCACGCTAAACCACAAGACACAAGCTCATTTGAAAGCAGACCTTTATACATATTTACAAAAAGAAAAACAAAGTCTCTGCACATGAGAGGAGATCATGTGATGACAGTTTCATTTTGTCTGCAGAGAAGTCGTTCTGGAAAATCACAAGAGACGAATGTTGGCACTCAGATGTAAATACAGCATAACAGAGTGAGGCCATTGTAATGAACGAGGAGCAGCTCTGCACCTCGTCTTACAGGAAAAGCATTAAATGTTTAAGATGGTCCTCCATAAAAATGTCTCGTTGGAGTTCTGCAGAGAACTTTCAGCAGAGATGGGATCCGACATAAAATATACACGTTACACATTCATATATATATATATATACACACAATATCCACAAGGCAGGGTCATTACAAGCATAGTTAGGTTTATCTTTTTAATGTTTCTGGATCTCTTGAATAGTAATTCAAATAACCCAAAGAGCAGTTGAAATTAGCAAGAAAAATAGAGTTGAAAGCTTTGCTTTGTTAGACTGAGGGTGTGTTTTCTTATTGAGTAGAATTCGAGCCTATATGTATGATCTGCATGGGTCTCTGGGGTAAAATGTCCATATAACAAACTGCAGTTTGAGAGGCTAGCTGCACTGCCACTATTTTTTAACCTTTATGCTAAGCTAAACTAGCTAGCTAGTGGCACTTGCTTCAGTTGACCTGATTATGGTTCAATTGCTCAGCTCTATTAAATGCTGTTATGTATTGTGATTTGTGATTCTATCGTAGTTTCTTTTGCAGTAATGGATAGCCATTTGGGCAGAAATCCTGCATGTTTTCTTAACAACGGGCGTGCACAACAATGGCTAATTAGAAGAGCTTTAAATCTGTGATAGAATACATAAGTGATTGTGGTGTTAGCATTCAGCAGCTTCAGCGGCAGTATGATAACTGATAAATGATACAATTTTATGTGACAAGAAAGCTACAATCTCTGGCCCTCTTCTACAGCACGACTTTTATGCTGTCTTCCTTCCCTCACTCCCCCAACCGGTCGCCGCTGCCTGAGCCTGGTTCTGCCAGAGGTTTCTTCCTATTAAAAGAGTTTTTCCTTGCCACTGTCACCAGGTGCTTGATCACAGAGGGTTGTCCCACTGTCGAGATTTTCTCTCTATTATTATTGAATCGTTACATTAGAATATAGAGTGCCTTGAGGCAATTGTTATGCTGATTTGGCACTTTAGCTACAACTAAATTGAAATTGAATTAATCAAAGCTTTAGTCCTGTTATGTTATGATGATTATTTGCTTGCTCTGGACATATTTCAGGGAAATATTTCCAATTTTCATGAGCACAGAAAATCTGCTAGAAAACCAGCTGTGTGACCAATCAAAATAATTTAGCAGTAAGCTATTCGACTCTAAACGACTCTAAACAGCAGCTTAACAACAGGCCAAATCCTGATTTCATTTTAGATTACAGCTGCAGCGTTACACTCTCACACACACTTTCATTTTTAAGAATTGGCAGCGTGACACTTGGACAGCTGCTCAGTGTCACACGTTCCCTTATAAACTAAACTCAGAATTAGTTCAGTGCTGTGACTTCTTTCATGTGGCCCAAGCCAAGAAGCAAAGAGCCAAGACATCAAGAAGCCAAACCCATATTAATTATCTGTGGGCTCTCTGTGCTTTGTGTTGATGCTACATTCTTCTTATAGCATCAAAAAATATCTCGAATATATTGCAGAGTTCCACGTTTGGAAGATTTATTGACACAGCCCTGTCAGCTACTCTAAATCTGATCCCATTAATGTCAAACACACAAAAAGACACACAGATCCTTAACCACCTTAATGTCAAACACACAAAAAGACACACAGATCCTTACCCACATAGAGAGACGAAGCATACAGCAAAGAGACTGGGATCCAGCAGGATCATGGTATATATTACCGTCAGTAATGTGTGCTCAGTATCACCACTGCTGGATGATATTAAATAAGGGAAAACTTTGAGGCTGTTATTATTGGGCTTAACCATGCATGTAATGCTCGTTCTTCCAGTATAGCATATAAAATTCGATTAAGTTTTAATTTGGTAAGTTTTCCCTCTGTCCTTTAGCTACACCTTTCTCTCTCTATGATTTAACTAGAACTCATGCCATGTGAGCCACACACAACAGCAGTACTGTTGAGCTCAGGCTTGATGTTGGAACTTTTAGTCTGCATCCAGTGTTCTGGGAAACGTCAACAACAAGAAGACAAGCAGAAAAAATATCATATTTTAAATGCACATTTAGTTCCCACTGCCTCAGACTGAAGCAGCACTTCCTTTCGATGCCAATACGAAAGACAAGATTCAAAAAACGAAAATAAAAACACTTCCACTGGTGAATGTGGGAAGGTACATCAACTGGTAACAATTGGACGTCAGACATACGTACAAAGACAGAACAACAAAGACACTCATGTCAAAAAAGTATCACAACTCCTCAAAGAAGTAGTCTCACACCAGATTAAAATAATAAATAGCACAAAGAAGGAAGTTAAATAGAGATGGAAGTAGCTGTGTTCGTTTAACATTTTAAGAACAAATCACAATTTACTGCCTCACAAAGTCACTTTAAATCCCACTGGCCAGGGTCCATTTGACGCCAGTCCTGTTTAGCACTTTCTCCAGTTCCAGCTTGGTATAATAAAGGCTTCTTTATGATCCGCTGGGCCTGCTTCATAATTTACAGTCAGATGTCATTACCAGCTGGGGCTGCAGAACCTGCAACAATGTGCTCCACTCTTCTGTGTTAGTCTAATCCACTGAAATTCACCAACAGGTTGGGAAACATGCATTTCTGTACAGAGTTTTCTTCTAGTTCGGTTTACAGTTTGATCCTCTTGTTCATGTTGTAATGAAAATCTTTTAAAATTCACTCTCAACTTCTTAAACAATAACCTAATAGATGTTGAATATATAGAAAGCTTGAAAGCGCCCTACTTCAGACCAGCGGACGACACTCAGTTCTGAATGTCAAAGCGAAGTTTCTGTTGGAGTTGATGTTCAGACGTGTCTGCACCTTTTTCCTAAATTTGTACAACGTCCACACGTGGGACTCCAGATACACTCAACCAACACTTTAAACAGCACGGAGCATTTTTTTTCCTTCTTTTGTTCACTTTGTTCCCACACCTAAACCAAACCGCTCTCTGTGTCGTGGCACAAAACCAATGGCAGCTTATGCCCGTGAGTCTTAACCGAGCCAGCATTGCAGAAGCAAACACTGAGGAGAACATAATGGAAACATCTCCTGTAGCGGGTCTGCACGGCTGCAACACAGAGCACTAATGTCCTGGGAAAGCTGATCTGTAACCTCATCAAAGCCGTTGCCATGCTTTTTCTCTGCCTTTCATCTTCATGGTCGCAGTCAGTCATCTCGTGGTCAGACCCCACCTATCTGAAGAAACCAACAAAGCCCTTACTGTAGGGAAACCGCCTGAAGGATTATATGTTATATATCCATTAAGTGAAGAAAATTAAAACTCATCAGTGCTATTTGCTGCTGCTCAAAATAAAAATAATCAAAGTTTCTGCAGAATTAAACTGTTACCTTGATCACTAACAGCTTGTTTTGGATGTTTTAGCCCTTTTCATTATGTATCACTGCCGTACATACTAAGTTTTAAGATGAACAAACTCTTCACTACAGAGAACAGTTTGACAGCTTTCTTTTTTGTGCTGTTTCATTGGGTTCCAATGACATTTGAATGGTATTTGACAGCCTTTCAGCAAATACATATTTGCCCTTCTGTCAACTTCTGTTCACTTTCCAACAACAAAGAAGCAGTTTGAAAATTTATTCCTGTATGCCAGAGGAAAGAGTGTCCTTGAAATTGAAGCGCAATAATTGTTTTGCAAAGTACTTGGGGAAAAAAGTACTTCTTCAACTTCAAGAACATGACTTTGAAAAAAAATGTCTCTCTTTCCACATCACAAAATAAATGGAAAGCAGTTTTTTGCCTGGAAGGTAGGAAATCAATCTAAAAAACATCTGCTCTGTTTTGAGGGATAGCTGTGATTCCTAATTAATGGGCAAAAACATGCAAAACCACAAGTATGGTCCTTTTCGGGACAGACGGTTTGGATGATTTTTCCAAATGCTTAAAATCGACTTCTGGAACGAGACTCGGATTTTTGTTTTTATTTTTTTTTCTCTCTCTCTCTGTAGAGCGTCCAAATCTAAAGAATCCAATCAAATGTCCTTGTCATGACTCAGAGTCAGTCAAACTTAGGGATTTAGGCATGCCGTTTATCCTTCATTCAACATGCGATGCAACCTAAGCCTTTTCATTCATACAGTCGTTTGTCCCGGTGAAACAGTCCTCGCTGTCCAGATCCTGTACATACTTCAGTCACTCGTGTGTAGCTTAGCTTGTTTGTCTCTATAATGAAAGGACGCCATGTTTGTTTGTAGATAAGTGCATGCGCATGAAGTAGTCTCTGTACATACAGTATGTGTGTGTCTCAGTGTATAAGTTAACTGTGTATGTGTACATGTGTGCATTTGTGTGTGTGTGTGTTTGCGTGTTTGTGTAGTTGTTGAAGTCACTGAAAATCTGCCCCCCCGCTCGTGGACGCGTTCAAGCACTCCTCGGCGCCCTCTGCTGCGGCTTGCTCCTGCTCTTCCTCCCCGCTGCTCTTCCTCCGCCGCCTCCTCCTCCTCCTCTTCCCCCGCCATGCTTGTGCCTCTCTTTCTCCTTGTGTAGCTCCGCCTTTGTGTCACCATGGCGATGGTGGTTGCGTGGAGGGCGGTATCCCAGAGCCTTGCAGTGCTGGCCAAGCTTTCCGGGGTGAATCAGTGCCATCACGTTCTCGTACCACGGCTGGGTTCCGGCGCTCTGATAGGACGAGGCCGACCAGGAAGCCAGGAGGCGATTGGCAGAGGGGCTCCAAACAGCGAGGCGCACGGTGACCGCAGTCCAGTGGTAGCCGTGCTCCTCCACCTGGCAGTGGTAGACCCCGCCGTGAGACAGCTCGGCTCGACGAATCAGGACGCCCCGCTCGATCACCACCAGCTGGTCACCAGTTATCACCTGACGAGAGATTTTTGGAGAGGAAATTTATAATCTGGATAATCTCGAACAAAGTGGCTGTAAAAAGGATTTGGAACATAAATGAAAGCACAAGTGTAAAAGGTGTGACTGCACCTGGTTTAGTTCAGCGCTGTTCTCTCCAGCCTGTTTGTACCAGGTCACTGCAGCATGTCTGGATCTGGGCAAACACTCCAGGTAGGTGCTGTTACCCTCTGCCACCATCATCACCCTTTGTTCTGCCTCCACCTGCAGTCCGGCTAAATTAAAGAGAGAAAAGGTGAAACAGGTTAAAGATATGGTGACCTGTCCGAGAAGCCTGCTTCTCGCCAGTCTCAGCTGGAACAGGCTTGAGCCCTCTGAAACCCTACTACACTGGTAGTGCTCCATAATGTGGCCTGATCATAGTTCAACAGGTAAAGCAAAGACCCTGAATGGAAACAATGGAAGCTGCTCACCTCCCTGTCTGACACACTGAGTCAGTGGATCCTCATCCTCTCCTAAATGACGAGCATTCCTCCTGCAGACAAACAGAAACAACAAGCTTGTGTTAGACAGAACGGACAGCAAAGCGATGATTTTAACAAAGTGAGAGCAGCACTAGGAGAAAGGGCATGCATTTTGGGGTCACACGTATCATGCCTATATGTTGTCAACACAAACAATGCCAGTAAGAAACATAGTTTTAAATAGCTCTATATAGCATTTTTAATTTGACCTTCAGATCAATTTATTGACATGAGTTCACTGTATACTCAGAATTCATTCAAAACTTTTTGAGCTATCGTGTTTAAAGACAGAACGACACACACGCAAAACCATAACTTCCTTGGCAGAATCAATTTGCTCACTGGGGCAAAAGTCAGGATATCATCATAAACAACCTAATCATAGAAATTATGGCCAGTTGTGATACTTAGTAAAGAAACAAAATCTTAATCATGTGGAAAAAATGCCTAAAATCTAATCAGAAAAATCTGAGCTTAGGTGTAACTTGAACCACGTTTCTGACTATCAACAAATGTGGTTTAAATCAAATTTGGGAAGATTGATTCCACATTGATTCTTTTCATAATAAAATAAGTTCAAGCCGTAAGGGGAAACTCAATCTGCTGTAATGTTATCAGTGCTGTCTGGATCTGCATAGAGCTGGTATGTCCTCCCTACCTGCGCACGGTCGGCATATAGGGGCTGCAAGCATGTCCGTCCCAGGTGCAGTAGGGGTCCCTGGCCAGGCAGCACTCAGCGCAGGCCTGACCGTACAGCTCACACTGGTAAAGGGCCAGCTGAGACACACCCTCCTTGGAGCCCACAAACAACCACTGCTAGAGGAGAGGGGGTGGGTGAAAGATTGAAATAGAGATGGAAGAGAAAACAACGATGGAGGGGGGAAAGCAGAGACAATGTGGGAGAGCCAGAAGAGAAAAACAAAGGGGCATCAAGTTCACTCCCCTGCAACACGGACACTTTGACAGTCACCAGGAAAAAAAAGCAGATTCATCTCCACTCTGTGAGTCACAAATCCAACTCAAGCTGTATCAATGTCAGTGGCCACGGAGAGTGTGTGTTTGCATGCGGGGTGGAAAACAGAGAAATGTGAGGATGCTTGCTTTTTATAATCTTCGTGTGTGTGCGAGCTGCGGTTTCGTTTTCTTTTTCCCCCCTCATGCCAAACTGTTTTAATAATGCAAGGTGCATTTGTGTGTGAGCATCTCTTCATTATTGCTCTGACTGAGGTGAGGTAACCATGGCAACTGGTGATGAAGCCGTCCTTGGAGACGCAAGGTGGAGAGACGAGTGAGAAGTGCGATGTTACCGTGTGTGAGTGCGGCAGTTTGGAACTTTGAAAGCGAGTCTCGTCTGTTACCTTTTTCTTTGAGAGTGCCATGGCTGTCACCGGTGATTTGTGCTGTGAAGGAGACAGGAAAGGGAAACTGAGAAACACACCAGGTTTATATTGAAACAAAGAT